CAGAAAAGACCCTCCCTAGTTTTCCGGAGAGCAAAAAGATAGGAGGAGAGAAACCCTTTCACTCTTGCAAGATTCTCTTAACGGAACCTGATCCTAAAGACCGATGTCTGCCGATGGACGTCACCATCACCAATTCTAATACTTGATCTTGTTTTGTTTTTATTTCTTTTTAATGTGTTTCGGTTTGCAATTCTGGTCCGTGGCCCTCATAAAAATAAAAATTCTATTCTGTTCTAATAAAGGTAGAGCTACTACTCCTGGGAATGCTTCTGGTCTGGACTACCTCGCAGGGCTGACAGACGGGGATCAACCGTCCGGGGTACGAGCTGAGCCCGACTTAAGAGCGGAAGCGTTCAGACACTTTCACGCGGGAAATAGAAGTGCGAACTGGAACTGAGAGGGAGGGATTTGGACCGAGCCCCAATGGCACTTCGCTTCTCCGGGTCCAAAGGATCGTTCTCTTTGACATCCATCCATCCACTCTCCAAAGCTTCAACGCCGTTTCTTCTCATCCAAGAATGTGGAAAGGGTCCAGAGCTAACCTCTGAACCTTTCCCCATCTTGGTTCGATCCATCAGAGAGGAGCCTGTCTCCCCAAACCTCCCCGAGGGGCGTATAACCCCCAATTCAAAATCACAATTCTTCTGAGCACACCACACAGCGGGATCCACTTCACGGAAATCCCCGGTTAGGCTCAGTGGACTTAACGTGGTAAAATAAAAACAGGGCCGAACCCCCACCGGTCTCGGCAACACGGATGTTTCCTCTTGCAGCGGGGTCCCTTAGTTATTCCCCGCAGGTTAGAGAAACAGCAGCTCAGGGATAAAGCTCAGCCCTGCAAGCAGAAAGTTAGTCCCTGGTCTCTCGGTTGGAAGGATTTCAGAGAGCAGGATTAGAAGATTAGGGGAAAAAAGCAGCATCAAATAACGATGTGGGTGTATGATCTACCCTTGGGAACGAACTTAGAAGATGCTTCACCCTGAAAAGGTGATGACGTTTTTGCCTCGTAGCAAAACCTTTAGCACTGCAAAGTTTTGCAAGGGTGTGAGGCTGGGTAGGAAAGGAGGCGCACACGCGTGTTTTTGCTTACCCACATCACACGTGTGTAAAGGGAGGTAGAGTAACGCTCAGCAAATAAAAATTCTCCCGTGCTTCTTTCAAAGGAGCAGAGAAAGTTGGTGAAATTTGAGGGCTGCGACGTGATGGGTGCCTTTCACGCATGGGTTCCTCCAGGGAGCAAGCAACGGACGGGGCCATTTGGGGTAGAAATGTCCAATCTTTCATTATCGGCGGCCAGCTTTCAACACTTCCCTGAAGTCCCAAGGGGAGATCAGGAAGACTTCCAGCGGAGTAAAGATACGCCTCGACGCTGGCGGAATTCGCTGAGCCCTCCCGCGGGAAAATAAACTCAACGCGAGAAATCTGCAAGAAATTCTCAAGCTCCCCGAAAACAGAGTGGAAAAACAGAGGCTTCTTTTGCCAGAGGACAAAACCTCTGAGCGGTTCAACACCGTTCCCGGGTGCAGAACTTTCAAGCCCCAGAGAGACGGGCAGGCCCCTTCTTGGGGGCTGGTGTTTGTCATAAGCAGCTTCATCTGCCTTCATTTTGGCTGGGAACAGAACGGCGTGCAACCTTGATGCACGCCAGCGGGCCTCTCTTGCATATTCCCTTTTCTCAAAGATAACACACATCCGTGCGTGAACAATTGAAGCAAAGCTAGGAAACATTAACTGGGGTCAACGCGTAACAAATGCATAAACCTGGTTAGTGCTGACTTGACTGTGGCGGCTTCAGCACGCCGTACGAACATCACCCATGATGTTTATGACTCGGCCTATAATACAAACCCACCGAGTCGGTTCATTCAGCAGCAAAGTTAAGGGTGGTGAAAAAATTCAGCACAGGTTAAAACTCATCAACGTTGAACCCCAGTTCACTTTTCAGTATTTGCTTTCACGAGAGCGCCGCCTCTTTCAAATCAGAGGATTTTGGGGGGGGGGATATAGTTTTTTTTCCTTCTTATATTAAGATACCCCTATAAACTCTGCTTCCAAATATACACCGACGCTAGGGAGAAAGGTTAAAAAGGTTTCATCTTTCGATTGTCTGTAATTTTCTGTCTTTTTCTAAGCTAGAGCCGCCAAGATGCTCGCCGTTTCTCTTTAAAAATGTTCAGGCCCCCGGTTCTTCCCATTGCTCTCTTTCTCTGGTACATCTGTTTTAAAACGCGGCAACCGATTCTTTCAGGGAACATTGCACCAGAGAAACCATGATCTAAGTCCACTCCCCTTCCCTCCCTCGAGAAAAGGTGACCCAACCCTCGCTTTCGCTTCCTTGGGCGCATCATGCGCCACTCATGCGCGCCCACGAGCATCATGCGCCCCCACGGCCCTCGCGCACAAGCTCACCTCTCACACACGCGCACTGTCCAGGCGGCAATGATCCACAGGGAGATGCTGAAGACCAGAAGGACCGTCCCGGGACAGATGGTCATAAGAGTCTTCATCACAAAACGGGTGTTGAAGTTAATCTTGTTGAGCGCCCCGATGCTGCGGGACGAGGCGTCCGTGAAAAGCTTGCTGTGAAGAAGCATAACCCGGGCGATCAAGTAGAGGCGGAGGAACATGGGGATGGAGAGGATGATGTCCACGTCGGCCTCCGCTCGGGAAGGCGTGTACGAGAAGGCCAGCCGGGCGGTCCAGAAAAACTTGTATTCGCCGGGGATGGGGTGCACGGCGCAAACCAGCATCTCGAGGCTGATGTAGAGGATGCGCTCGTAAGTCATGGCGATCCGCCAGTCATCGGCCCCGTTGTCAATCACAAAGAGCTGGAGGAGGCGGGGGGGGAAGACACCAAACCAGGTCAGGGCCAAGGTTCTAGTCCTTAAGAAACAACCCCTTCCTCGCTCGCTTTCCCTCCTCCTTTACAACCCTTTCTTTTTTTAAATCGTTTCTAGGAAAAGATTCGACGAGGAGCGTAAGACGTCCGTGCCGAGCGCGAGAAAAAAAAACAGGCAATGTGAGAAAGGAAAAAATGAAGGAAAGAAGATGGAAAAAAGAAAAAAGAGCAGAAAAGAGCAGAAAACATTTTAGAAAATGTGTCTATAAAGAAGCGGCTTCCGATCTTCCTCTTGGCAGTTATACATCCAATTCTAATCAAACCTCTCTTTCTAAGACCTTTTACAATCCTTTCAACACCCCCTTCTTTCAACCCTTCCTTCCTTCCCTGTTTCATTTCCACCTCTTTCAAACTTTCTCCCCTTCCCTTTTATTTACGATTTTATTTATTTATTGAATTTATATGCTGCTTATCTCCCCAGAGGGTGACTCTAAGATCTTTTACAATCCTTTTCTCTCATAGATAGCCAGTGAAATCGATGATCCTCCCCGGTTCCCTTTTTAAATTCACGCAGCGGGCAGCCAAAAAGAAAAGAAAAGAGCCTTAATTATGTCTTGCAGGCAAAAAACAGACCGGCTGCCGGCCCGCTCTTGGCTGGGGATTGGCCATTTCTGGCTGAAAGCAAGCCAAGCTGTATTGGCTGGCCTGTTTTTTGCTGGCAAGCCGGAACAAAATGTCCTTTTGAAGGGTCTGAACAGGTACGATGATGTCAGGGAATAAGCCCCGCCTTGACGCAGCACCTGAAGGAGGGGCCTGAGCAGGGACATCATGGCAGGGCAGGTGGGCGTATCTTCCCTCCTTCTTTCTGACCTTAGATCATGATCTTAAGGCTCACACACCCCACCCGCTCGTCTGGGTCCGTGAGAACTTCAAACATTGCCTGTGGCTGCTGAACTCCCTGGAATCTGCCTTGCCTCTTCCGCCAAAGGCTTCCGTTTTCCCACCTCATGCACAGGGAGCTTGAGAATTCCTTTCCAATTTCTCCCTTCGGAGCTGACTTTCTCAGGGGAGGCTGCAGAGGGATATCCAAGTGGCAGGAGTTGCTAGTTTGGGGGACCCATCTTTCCACTCTCTGCCTGCCCAACTTTCTCCATCTGAAAAAAGCCCAACGGGAAGAAGACTCTAACATGACCGACAGGATGTTCACACATACCTCTTGGCCACCGCCTCGCTACATAAATTATCTCCATCTCAGAAAGATGTTTCAAAAGCAAATGGATCCAGCAAATCCTTATTATTAAAATTTCCATGTCCCCCTCTCTCAGTGAGTCAAGTATCAGGAGAACCTTTCAAATAAAGCTAACCCAAATCCTAAACTTCGAGGCCACGTAATTCTCATTTTAAAAGTTGCTTTTAAACCTTTTCTCCAGCTTTGGAGCTCTGCCATTCAACATTCGGGCTAGAAATTCAGAGTTGAACCTGACGTTCTCCTCCTTGCTAGCTAAGAGGATCTCCAGGTGTGACGTGTCCATTTCGAGGAGGGAGACATCTGGCCCGGACAAAGCCAGATGTTGGGACAGGCAAGACTCCGGTTGATTCAGAAAGATTCTTGGGTTTCTATGTTTTAATTTTTCAGAGAAGGGGGGAAGGAAGGTCAGCCAAAATGCGCAAAGCCCATTTTTCATCCTTGGTGTTGTCATCACCCCTTCCCCACATCTCTCTGTGCGCAGATGTTGAGCCACAAGACTCCCTCTTTCTCGGGCCTGTTTATCCACCCCAGATTCATGCCAGAAACTTGCCTCATCCCAGCCTGGCTGCCTTCCACACCAGATCTGCCCCTCACGTCTGCATTTGGCTTGGAAACGTTTCTGGCTCGTCTTAAGGATCTGGACCTCTTCTCTGGAGGAGCAGGAAGCCCTGGGCCCAAAGTCCGCCAGGAGCGCAAACTTGCCTGCCCAGGGCAACACTGTAAGTCCTGGACCAGGGAGATGAGGCAGAGAAACCTCTGCGCTTTTCCCTTCAGCTGAGATGGGTCCATCTCTCGGTGGCCACAAGCATTGAGAAAAAGAAGGATCCCCCCCAGAGCAAGAACATCCCTCCCAACATTAGCTAAACGGCCGGGACAACAGCAGCCTTAAGGCCTAAGTGATATTTCTTGATACTAATTGGGTGGGAAGGAAGGAAGGAAGGAAGGAAGGAAGGAAGGAAGGAAGGAAGGAAGGAAGGAAGGAAGGAAGGAAGGAAGGAAGGCAAGCAGAGGAAGGCAGGCAGGCACAGGAACAAAGGAAGGAGGAAGAGGAATGACCGTGGCTGAAACTGCCAACGTAACTAAGAGGGGAGCCAGAGTTTGTTCCAGAGCAGCAGAAGCAACGGGCCACGGGGTCAGCAGATGCATTCAGGGCAGTAAAAATACTAGAACCAACAAAAGAGGCTGCGCTTTCGGTTCAGGGAAGCCGAAGCCGTGCACAAAAGGCCGGACCTTCGCTTTGGCCCAAGGCGTTTGCAGCAGTGCCAAAACGTCTTGAAAAACTGCACGCGTCTCGGGCGTCCCCAGAGCCTGCCCGCCCAAGCAACCAGCACCCATTTTAACTTCCTCATCGGCCCCATCTCTCCCCCCGTGACTTTGCCCCCTCCAGCACGAGACCCCTGATCCCTTCTCATGGTTTCTTTGCTCCCTGGGGGCAGAGGTTCAGTGCCCCCCCCAGGAACCCCAAGAAGTGAGGCTGGCATAAAATGTTGACCTTGCAAGAAACACATCAAAAACCTCATTTTGCTGTGGGCTGCTGCGCTGATGGCTGGATCCCCTGCAATTTCTTCCTTTCCGCCGTTCCCCAGCCTCCCCCAAGAAAGAGGGGGGAGAGAAGCAAGCCCAAGAGAAAGACTTGGCCTCTCTTGGGGGGCTCCGGGATACTCAAGCTTCTTCGCCTCTTGAAACCCAGAGTCCCCCCGCCCCTCGAAAAATCTTGGCAGCAAAGCCAGCGAAAAGGGGCCAGCCCAACTCTGAGCACACAAACTCCTCATATATCGAAGGCTGGAGCTTAATGACCTGCTTGGAGACATTAAAAGAGGTTCTTGCAGGAGATGCTCTTGCGCGCCACTGAATTGCATTTCAATTCCCCGGAAAATGTTTGAAATTGCCCAGGGTGAGATGCTAATTGAGGGAAATGGAAGAGAAGCATCGAGGGAGCGAAGGGGCCATGCGAGCCAGGATCCCCTCCTCGGCTTCCCAGAGGGTCGATCCCCCAAACCACCCAGCCCCCTGCCCCTCGAAACATTTCAGATCGGCTTCCCACAGCCCTGACGAGCGGAGTTTTGCACCCCCCCCCACCCCCCCCCACCC